TTCCCTACACGACGCTCTTCCGATCTCCCCAAAACCCCAAAACCCCAAAACCCCGTTAAACTAAATTATCGAATAAGAGAGGAATAGATAAGAATTTTAAATAATAAAATGAAGATTAGAGATTATATTAAGAATTTATAGGATCTTTTATAATATATCGTTTAACAAGAAAAATGAGTAATTCTTTACTTTCTAGAAATCATTTATTTTACTCATTATTCTATAGGAACAAAGATATTAATGACTGTTGCCTTTGTGGTATTTGCAGTTTCAGGAAATGATCAACCACCTAGCAATGTTGTGGCATCAGAGAATTCATTGATCTCTGACAATATTAAGCAAATTATTCATAATGAGGTTGAGAAGACAGTGCAAGAGAGACTGAAAGAACAAAATGATGCAGCAATAAGTCACAAAAATGAATTCAAATCAAATACTTTGATTTTTGGCTAAATCAAGGGAGCTATTCAAGTTTTCAAGCAAAAACTTGAAGAACTTAAAGATACTGGCTTATTGGGTATGATAATAAGTTTTATTTCTAATTCAAATAGATAAGATTATTAAAGATGCCAAAAACTAATGGGATGAACTCCCCTAAGATGTAAAGGACCAATTTAAAAGTAATAATGATATACTTTAATCATTAATTTTTGCAGACGACATAATGAAATACATCAGTTATTTAAAGGACAAATGGAAAAGTGCAATCTAACTAGATCAATTAAAAAACCTAAATGTCAGACTTGATCTAGAGACTAACTAAATATTCGTTGAGAGCGAGCTGAGAGACTCAAATGGAAAACCACTTTTTAGTTTGAATATTGATGAAAATGGAGAATTCACTGATCCTATTGCCAAGGCAATAATGAATATGGAATTCAAGAAAGAGGAAACTGGTATAGATTCTGAAAAGTAATCACCAGTTGTTGTTACAGATGAGTAACAATCAGAAAAAACTGGAGAAATTATTGTTACTAGTGATGAAGATCAACTAAAGCAAAAGGATCTGAGTGTGCCAGCTGATTAATCTAAGCTAACAGAGTAAGAATAGTTTGAAATTCAAAGAGAAGTTGCCTTTAAAGTTGTGATGTTCTTCATTACCTTTATAATTCTCTGCTTTGCCCTTCTCTATGTATACCACAGAATTTAATAGGCTTCACACCCAGAGCAATCAAAGATGAACTTGTAAGTTTCCCCATAGTTTAAATTAATTTATAGCTTTGACTTCATTGCTGGAGAGCTTGAGGATTAGGAATATGGTAATGTTCCAAGTGGAAGATATGTTAGATGAATCATCTAATTTGTTCAAATGCAAGGGCTTGCTTAAGAGATTCTTCATAATGAATTCAATTATTCTCAAAAGCTTTGTTATTAAAAATTCTAAAAATGCTTATTATGAGCAACATGGGGTTTTGGGGTTTTGGGGTTTTGGGG